TGGATGGATGGATGGATGGATGCGGGAGGGGGTGAAAACAGATGAAGAAATAAAGCGAACCACGCACAGGTTGGATGTAGGAGCGGGGGCGGGGGAAACCGAAGGGAGAAGAAGAAATCGAGTAGAGGCTGGTTGATAAATTGAGCCTTCATTTATCACAATAGTGGTAATGGCAGAAGAAGGCTGACAACAGAGGAAAGGAAGATAGATTATCACCACATAATACCTCAGTATATAAGCTGACCTACTGCAACAAGGCCAGAAAAAATTCTTTTAATTTTAAATTTAGGAGTTTTGCAGCAGAGGAGCAGCAGAGAGTCAGTGATGAAAAGATGATTTTGGCTCCGTTATTCCCGGGTTACTTTGGGACAGACGGCTGAGCTCGGAGCAGCTTCCAGCCACTTAGCGATGGTGCTGCGTATGGTATTTGACCGAGGGGAAATGAGGGCTCCACAAACATCAATAGGCTTTGTTAAAGTGAGGGATGGACGCTCCGGCGCTAATCGATACTTACTGTTCGACAGGAGGGCTAACCCGAGTCCGAAGCAGACTCAAGATGTGTAAAACATGAGATCTAAATCTAAATCAGGCTCCTGAAGTATCTCTGCCGAAGTGAGACACCCCCCAAAAAATCCTATTAATTCAGCATGGTGAGAGAAAAGAGCATTATAATCAGCAGTCTAAGCACCGGTTCAGCCCGTTTGGGTTTGGTGCTTGAACATCATCGAGTGTTTGTTCGCTCGGAAACAAAGAGGCGGCGGTGGCGGCGGCAGACCTGAAGCTGGCTCTTTGATTTGCTCGCTCAGTCGTTGCCTCGTTCTCTCGCTCGGTGGAGAGCTGAGAAATGAGGTTAAAAATGAAATGTGAGGAGCGCGGAGGGGAGTGAAGGCCACAGACTGAACTGATTAATTAGAACTAATCACACAAATCGGAGCTAATGGAAGTCTAATGGATTACTGGGAAGACTCGCCACTTTCTCGGGATGGAAATAGCGCTGCTGCTGTGGCGAGGAGAAACTTAGAAAGCAGTGAATCAGAGAAGAGCTGGCCCTGGTCGGTCGGCTGCACACAGAAAGCACTGGCAGGGTATTTGTCTGGCTCTAGTTTTGACTAATAGCGACAAGGCCAAACTTTGAAAAATGGCCGAACGCATTTATTTTCCCCCCATTCAGAAAAATAAATCGTGGTTTCTTGCAGCAGAAATAAATAAACAGCTGGAACGTTGATTTTTCCCCGTGTTTCACATGTTTTCTCCCACATAAACACATTCATCTGGGAGATGAAACATAACCCCCGACATGAGCCGCGGATCCGGAGCCAACCAAAAGGTCCTGACTGAATGCAGAGCGGGACGCTGCAGCTCGACGCCACAATGGCCCCATTGTCGGCTGTCTTGCCTATGAAATATACCTTCCATGCAAGTGCATTTGTTAACCTCCGCCAAGATTAATGACATCCCGGTCACATAAAGGAGAGATTGTTTCCTGTGTGGCTGTGACACAGGTTTTATTATACTGTACTGGTGTGTGTGGGTGTGTGTGTGTGTGTGTGTGTGTGTGTGTGTAGTGGGCAGAGTGCACGTCCACCAGCATCTGAGTAGGATGTGAGTGTTGAACAGAATGTACGCTGCCAGTGTCTCAGTCTGTTCTCAGTGTGTGTATATATGTAGAGCAACGTGTGTGTGTGCGTGTGTGTATTGTGATAAGACTACATTCGGAGCCCAGTCTTGCCTTGACACTCGCCATCTGGAACGCGTCGCCGTGGCAACAAAGGAGAAGCGTCTGGAGGCAGGCACAGTGGGAAGTGGAACAACCATCACAGAAATAGAAGCAGAAGTAAGAGAGAAAAAGGATTTAAGAAAAAAATAATATTAAATGAAAGGGAGGAAGGAGGTGACAATCAGGGAGAAGAAACAAAGATTTAAAAAAAAAAAAAGAGGACGACAAGGAGAGAGAGAGACTTCACCTGCCGGATGTCGTGTTTCAGTTCAGGAAGAACCTCATCAAACCTTCCTACAGCCACCTGAACAGAACAACTGCTGGAAACTTTCAACAGTTTTTGTATATTTAACTCAAAGACAGCCGCTCCGAAACAAAAACACTGCATCAAAAAGGCGGTAACCATGGTAACAGGGACATTTAATGATTTAGCACCCCCCCCGTCTCCTACCTGGGGGGAATCAAACTGTGAAACAGGTTAAAAAAATGTGCAGCCCCCGACTGGCAGGGGAGGTGAAGCAGACAGAAGCCATTTAGCCCTCGTGGAGAACGTCAATATTCAATTAGGCCGGTGGACATCATTAGGACGGCGACGCAGCGTCTCTCTGGGCGTGACACCGCTCTTAACCCCCCCCCTACCGCTCTCTCTGGGTCCCTAGTCAGGCTATGATACCCCCCTATAACCACACACACACACACAGAACACTCCTCTCATTACGCCTTTTAATCGGACTCCTCCCTCACTCAGTGGATCATTTTAACCATTATTTTACACCTCACTGAATCAGCTGTTTGAAGGTTTGAAGGTTTTCTGACGTTTTTGTGTCACTGACCCCGAAATTATTTAGGAGCCTCGTGTAGAGCTGAGCGATGAATCCACATCCTTTAATGACCTGAAGTGTCATTGTACAAATCCTGTTGTTTAAATGAGCTGTAATGAGCGGAGCCCAGTTCACTGAATGTCAGTTTGACTAATGTATGTTTGATTGTTTACAAAACTGTGATATATAAATTCTTTCTATATATATCAGAAAAATATTCGTATTGATTCGCTACTCAGCCACAGAACTGTGTTAAATGAAATGCATTGTTGGCCCAGATTTTGTAGCATTTTGAAGTCGCACACTGGCAGATTTCTCAACCAAAGAACAAAAATCCGTACTGAATTTTATTTAACACAGTCTTCTTCTTACACCAGTTACACAACCTACAATTGTTAAATTGGTATGTATGTGTCTCTTCTTTGGTATCATCTCCTCTCAGACATTTTCTAGTACAGATATCTTCTGATAAATTAAATAATACCACTGATGGTTTTGCTGGGATTCTCTGGGGTTATCCTGTTCCTGACCCAACCCAACCCCTACGCCTTCACACAAGCACACAGATGTACCCTTTATTTACCCTGTGCCGAGCAGACTGTTTACCAAACACAGTGCAGACTCTCAGCCATCTCTGGTTGTGTCCCAACAGACAACTAACGTCACAACAAACACTCTACTAGAAGAATACGGTCTATCTGTTTTGTATCACTACACCTGTAAAGACCAAGACTGCATTCATTTCTTGAGCCGAAACCAAATGAAACACGCTTTTAAATTCCTGTAATGTCCACCAAAGATCCTTAAATGCCTGACTGCCCCCGCTACAGGCTGCAACGACCACTAGTGAGCGATATACCGATGATTCATGTACTTAACATTCACCACTGTCCAGATCTTAAAGTCTTATCAGTAACAGCACTCCAAGTTTAAGTTTGTCCTGAGATTTAGGCGCAGACTGATTAAAGTTCATACTCTGAGGAGAATAAATATGGTGAGTAATCAGATTTTTATTTTATTTTTTGCACATTAAACAATCATACATGGAGAAATGTCTCATAGACGAGGCACAGAGGACAATCTCTACAACCAGAACAGCAGGACGTGGACCAGAATGCAATGCGACATGTTGGGTTTAGATTAAGGGGCTCTGTCTCGATCTTAGTTGGTTAGCCAACCCTTTCTGAGCAAACACATTAAAGTCTCCAGTGGAAATGTTATAATCCCTCAATGTATAGAAAAACAGCTATTTTCTGTTCTTAGTGTCTCAGTCTAACCAAATCTGAGCAATGAAGACGCTGAATAAAATGTTATTATCTGTGGGAATGGTGGCCAAATATAGGAAAATAAGACTTATAAAAGCGGGAAACACTTAAAGTGGACTAAGAACTTGAAATAATCCTCACATTAGAGGAATTCCCTCGTCTCTGGGAGCACATTTGGTCTCTGGAAGAATAATACACACACACACACACACACACACACACACACACACACACAGAGACGTGTCCCTGCAG